CCCACACCCTAAACCCTACACCTTAAACCCTAAACCCTACACCCTAAACCCTGAGCCTCAAAGCCCTGTCAGGGGCCTAAAGGTTGACTAGTACTGTTTTGACGGCTCCTTCTTGTAATTGCAATAAAATAATATAAAATACCCCTGAAAGGCCTCTCCAGGTGCTTCAAAAGCTTTAGGATTCAACCGTCTAGGGGCTTAAGGTTTAGGGTTCAGGGCTTGGGGGGTCCGGGGTTTTCACCTTAGTCTCCCGGCCTTGGCCAAGCACTGCATTCACCCGAGGCTTCAAACCAAAACTCAAAAACCAGCCGACAGAAACTCACTTCGTGAGGCTTTAAGGCTGTGAAAACGAAGCACCAGCCGAAATCGGACTAACATAGACGCCTGGAATGTTAGAATAGGCTTTAGAGGGTGTAGTTTAACATGACTATAACTTTTATCATGAAGCAACCCAGACGATTAGACTTTGTAATTAGTCAGGCTTCCACATGAGGGCAAAGCGCAGTGCCAGCTTGACCCACCGGCTGCAATCTCTTGCCTACTTAAAGGCTCATGGGACTTAGTAAGTAAGGTTATAAGTAGGTTATAATTAGGATAACCCCACTTAGGGGACTTATAACCCAGTTATAACCTACTTACTAAGTCCCATGATCCTTCAAGTAACCCCAGATCTTCCGATCTACCGGGACTTGGAGGACCGGACCTATTCATCGACCCCACACAACGGAATATACCATAGGTTCCCATAGCTTAGAGTCCTTAGGGTCATGCAGGATTGTGTCCATCAACAGTATCAACACATATAAATGTGTGCATGTATATATATATATATACTTGGAGATGTATGTATATACCTAATTATATGGACAGAGTGCGTGTGTGTGTGTGTGTGTGTGTCCAGTCATCACCGTCGCCACCCCTATCGTCGTCATCATCGCCATACTATTATACTCAACACATCAACATACATTCGGTTACAACAGCGGCAATAGAGAAAGGCATATGACATTAACAAGCAAAATAGCCGCAATACTGCCGACGATGACAATAGCAGTATGTATACTAAATACAGTAACAACAAACAAAATCAGAAGAAAAAACCCAATAACAATACTAACAACATGATCAGTCAGTACTATATCATAGTAACCCTAAACCCTAAACCCGCCCACGGAATAAGACATCCCTGCATGGAGGCACCGTGGAAGATCTGGGAACCTAACTTCGGTGCATCGCAAGGTAGGGGTTCGAACTTCGAACGCTAGAAGACGGTTTAGGGTTTAGGGTTTAGGAAAGACTTGGTAGAGCTATGGTTCACGGGACTTTCAAGTAATCGGGGTTTAGGGTTCCAGGGTTCAGGGTTTCGGCTTCAAGGTAAAGGGTTAGGGGTTTAGGGCTTAAGGCTTATAGTAGTCAGGAAGGACAAAAGTATAGACTTGTGTTTCGGAATGGTTCCTTTTAAGGAACAGGTCCAGAAAAAAGCCACAAGAACCCAGTTCCGGGTTTCGGGTTCAAGGTAGGGGGTTTAGGATAATTCTGGGAGTTTCCGAAAATAGGGGACCCTTAATCTCGTACCCTAAATAGTAGGATCCTTAGTATAAGGACCCCAAGCCAAGGTACCCCTAGTTTTCGGAGAAACTCCCATATGTGGTCTAGGGGTTCAAGCTTGCGTGGTTTGGGTTTAGGGTTCAGGGGTTGGGATCGGGACCAAGAGGCTCAAATCCTCAGATCTTACCACTGCCTACAACCAGTTGGGGTTTTGGGGTTTTAGGGGTTTAGGGTTTAGGGTTTAGGGTTTAGGGCTTAGGGTCCGAATGCCCTGGACTACTTTGGGTTTTCGGGTGGCGGTGGAAGAAGGATTTCGCCACAGCCTGCTTTCCGAGGTTGGATCTACAGCTCAGGCTAAAGTCCGCAGCCCTTGAGTTAAAGTAAAAGCCGGAAAGTTGGAATATTTTTATCCTAAGCCCTTTATGGTAAATTATAAGGTATCCTACCCTGAAACCATATTCCAACTCTCTGGAGTTCCCTTTAGTAGGCCAGGGTTTAGGGTTGAGCGCTAGGCCTTAGGTAGCTTCTGGCCAGGCTCTATACTTCTCGGAGTTACCTTACAGTCATTGGCTCCATCTCACATCGCCCGTTACGTTTTCTCCACCTACATTATAATCTAACCCTAAACCCTAAACCCTAAACCCTGAACCCTAAACCCTAAACTGTTAGTTTACAGCCCTAGGACCGCGACGATTTTGGGCTTTTTCGAGTCTACACCCGCAGCCCGAAAGCTCCGCACCCCATAACCTTACAGTAACCCTTGTATAGTAGCCCTTATCACAATCCCATATAGTTCCTTTGCTAACCTCTGTAGCAACTTTCAAAGTATCCCGAGTATTCCGAATTCTTTCTGACCAGACCCCTCAACCGTAGACCCCAACCCCTCAACCTTCGGAGACACCCCACGAGAGTTTCCGAAAATAGGGGACCCTTAAGATAGTACTCCAACATAGTAGGATCCTTATTATCAGGGCCCCAAAATAACCCTAATTTTCGGAGAACCCCCACATCGAGAAATGGTTGCATTAGGCCACCGAGCCGACGCAGCTCAGCGTGAAACGTGGGCAGCCAGCTGAATCCTTTCTTTTCTACTTCAACTACTACCACCACCACCACCACCACGACTACTACTGCTACTACTGCCACCACCACCACCACCACTACTACTACTACTACTACTGCTACTACTACTACTACTACTACTACTACTACTACTACTACTACTACTACTACTACTACTACTACTACTACTCTTGAGGAACGGACGTCTGAACCTCGCGACCCCCCAGCTCCTCGCTCGTCAGAAGCCTTGCTTACATGGCCGACAGGGGACCAGTTTAGGGTTTAGGGTTTAAGGATTAGGGTTTAGGGTTTAGGGATTAGGGTTTAGGGATTAGGGTTTAGGGTTTAGGGTTTAGTACGCATTTAGGGAGTAGGGTTTAGGGTGAGCATGAAAGGATTCTTGGAGTTGCTGGCCACTCCCCACATAACATAAGCAGCATGCGTGATGTGCCATTCCGGCCAGCGCATGCTCGAATTCGGCCTTTCGACCGGTAAGGCCTTTAGAGCCTAGGGTTCAGGGGTTAGGGTTTAAGGTTTAGGGTTTAGGGTTTTGGTTTAGGGTTTTTGGGTCAGGGGTTATAGGGTTTCGGGTTTAGGGTTTTTGGTTCCATGAAGATTCCAACTGTGAATTCCAGCCACCATTCGCGTTGTTTTTTTCTAGATTCGTGGTGCCAGGAATTGATCATGTTGCTGTCTTGGTCTGACAAGGCTGAGAACCGCGCCGAGTCCTGAAGCCTAAGCCCTACACGAAAACGCCGTGACCCAGAATCTGCGATTAGTCATAAAAACATAGCTGCACCTCTCCACACATAAGCCAACGCCATCCAACCCCTTCACTTCTGTGCCGAAGTAAGCCCCATGAAGCCTATCAGAAAAAAACCTACTAGAGAAGACTCCTTCAAGGAACTCTCTACATCATAGCACTCTTATGAAAGGAACCATTTACGTAATGAACTCTCCACATCAGAGAACTCTTATGGAATGAACCCTAAGCCCGAGAAGGAACCGCGTCCTAAACCCTAAGCCCTACTTGGAGGATCATGGGACTGAGCAAGTAAGGTTATAAGCACCTTAATTGGGGTTATAAGTCATTATAAGTATTGATACCTAGTTACTAAGTCCCATGAGCCTTTAAGTAGAACCCTTTGAGGAACCGGGTCGAAGACCGGGGCTTCTTGGGGGCAAAGCCGAGCTAAAGCTTTGAGCTCAGCATGCTGCACCCGCCGGCAAGCGCTGAGAGAGATTCCCAAAGATACCGGGAATCCCCTGTTGACTTAGTAGAGGGGCCGCAATGGATATGCGCTCGATTTTACTCAGCTTTATCGTAGGGGCCTGAATAGCTAGATAGTTACTTGAAGGAACATGGGACTTAGTAAGTAGGTTATAATTGGGGTTATAAGTCCCCTAAGTGGGGTTATCCTAATTATAACCTACTTATAACCTTACTTACTAAGTCACATGAGCCTTTAAGTAGACGCTTGTTGAGCATGGGGGCCTTACAGGTTAGAAGCTTGTACAAGCGCAGTAGGGACTATAAGGGAAGTTTCGTTGTGCTTCTTCCGAATCCTAGATTAGTCCAAACCCGAAACCACAAACTAGGCTTAGCCGTATACATCCTAAACCAGAAACCTTATCGTCGCCGACCTTTCTCAACTTGCTCAGGAAACCCGGGGTTTGGGGGTTTAGGGGTTTATACAGGGGCCTGTCATAATTAGAGATGGGTTTTGATGTATCTTATACCGTCATTGTAATCAGGAAGCTCAAAACAGTAGAGGTAATTAGATAGGGCCCTACATGAAGCTCCATCGCTTGAGAAACTCTCCAGGACTTTGCCACTTCTGGCATGTTTCACTGTTGACTACCAGCGCGAAACTGATGTCATATGAGCTTAGTCTCAAGGGTGTGTTAGGGTGGTCTTGGGCTTTGGAGGCTACTGGGTCCATGTTTCTGGGAGGAGCTTAGAGTTATCGAAATGGCTGATGATAGAAATCCTGCATTACCCATAATAAGGAATATCCCTGAATTCCCATAGTTTAGGGTCCTTAAAGTAATACAGGATTTATTTCATCAACCGAACAGGATTGGCGCTGAGAGGATCTTTGCCTGTCATGGCATGCATCTTGCGAACAGCTCCGGGTCTGGATCCATGTTGCCTGGCGCACAGAAGCAAGGATCTCCATGAGATGTAACAGTCCATAGCGGAGTTTGGTTTCGCGACGAATGTATGGGGCTACATCGGCAACATACCGAAACCTCTCAGAACCCTACACTCTCGATACTAAAGCACTTTTTCCAACCTAAACCCCTGAACCTAAACCCCTGAAGAGCACGCACACCCCTTTCCCAGCCTCCAAAAATCAACCCCCTGCACCGCACCTGGATCATTTCGGTCATGCCTCGTTCGACCTTAGCAGGTATAGCACGCCCGACCAGCGCTTAGGCATTCAAAGTTGATGGGAGGCCAGAAAGGGGGTTTAAGATTCTTGGGGTAGGATTCCTTCATATGAACCCTATTATGGGAACCCAATCCCTCCTAAACCCCATAGGCTAAAACAAATTTTGGCCTCCTATGAAAATTAGGTCCGTCTTGGGTGTTTAGGGTATGTCATGGCGGTTCCAGAGCTATGGGGTTGAGCCCATACACATAGACCCGATAGCGCAACACGCCATCAAATGGTCGAGCCTTGCTTTTCAGGACTGCGGATACGGACCCCTTTCAAATTTCCCCTAGCTTCAGGAGGACCGGGGCTTCGAGTTTGGCGTTTAGGGTTTAGGGATTAGGGCTTGGGAGTATCGGGTATCGGCTTTGGGGTTAGGGCGAAGCAAGAGGTAACCCAGTGCTATCACGAGGTTCCAACTAGCCTGAGGAGCCCTATACAGCACAGTTCTGAGTCGCAGGCATCAGGCCGTTCATGATGGCATCAAGCATGCTCACCTCAGTGCTGCCGTTGTAGGTTCTAGGCGTTGGTGAGCTACATCATACGGCTTAAGGGTCATTTGATTAAAAATACTTGTAAACTCCACAGAGCGCTAAGACGCCGCAAGCCCTAGACCATAAGGCACCCAAAGGATGACCCCGAACCCTAATCACCAAAACACCCAGAGAACCCCAACAATGCTAAAGCCGTAGGCTCGGGCAAGCACTGCACCGGCTTCTGGCTGCTGGCTTGACGGCCCTAAACCCTAAACCCTACAACCTAAACCCCTAAACCCTAAACCCCTAAATCCTAAACCCTAAACCCCTAAACCCTAGACCCCTAAACTCTAAACCCTAAACCCGGTTCGGACTCATCATCTAAGAGTGTGGATGTTTCTGCGATTCCACTCCCGTGCAGAGGTTCCGGCAGTGCGCTCCTCTGCTGTTTTCTGCCGTGCCTGCTGGGATTTAGTTTAGGGTTTAAGGGTTTAGGGGTTTAGGGGTTTAGGGTTTTAGGGGTTTAGGGTTCTAGGGTTTAGGGTTCTAGGGTTTAGGGGTTTAGGGTTTAGGGCGAGGTTGAGAATGGGGATATATGGGGATTCGGCTTAACAAAGAAACTAAATGTCACTTTGGTCATTGGTGCGTTGGCACCGCATAGCAAAATGGAGGTCCATTTAAAAAGTAGCCGGGCTACTGTGCATATATATATATATCTTTATATATATATACATAGATATATATTTATTTATTTGTTTATTTATTTGTTTATTTGTTTGTTTATTTATTGATTTATTTAATTATGCTTTCGGGCCTTGGAGGTTTTAGGGTGGGACCTCTGGCTGTAAGGTACAAAGGCCATCATACGGTTCCGTGCAAGAAGCATTTGTTTGACTTACCTCCGATCTATATCCGCTGGAGTTCTGGGTGCTAACCCTAAATGCCCTAAACTCCAACCCTAAACCCAAACCCTAAACCCTAAATGCTGTAAACTCCACACCCTAAACCCAAACTCAGCACAGGCCCCAATTTCGGATTCTTGCGCTTTGCGTTTGGCAGGCGTCGATCGGCTTCCATGCTTGGGGAATGCTCCTGGAGTTTAGGGTTTGGCTTTTAAGGCTCAGGCCCAATTCCTTGTCAGGGATCGTTTGGCTCTTATTTAAGGGATCGTAAGGATCCATTAGGGGTTCCTTTAAAGACCCCTGAAGGGTTAAGGCAGCAAGTTTGTCTTAAGTCTTAAGTGATGTTGGAGTCCATGCTCTGGGAAGCAAACTGTCGACTGGTGTCTGTTTCCGCACTCTAAGCCCTAAACCCTACACCCTAAAGTCAGGAGATCATTGGAACTCCTGTACACTTCAGGTACTTCATTCGGATGGGTATTAATAGGGGCCTTCATGATTCTTGAAGGGTTCTGTAAGGGATCAGGAAGGGATTTAGGGGTATAGGGGCCGCAGAAGTTACAATAGTTTTTTGCAGCAATTTGCACTCATTACAAGGAACCCTAAGAAATCGGCTCACTGACACTCATTACGAAGCCCTAGAAGGAGGCCCGAACGGCTGAGGTTCAGGTCGGAGCCCGAAAAGTATTCAAAGGTGTTGAAGGTAATACCTATACGTCAGCGGGCTTCAATAACGTCACACTTTCGACACTGCTGAAGTCCCTAAATCCACAACCCGAAACCCTAAACCCTAAACCCAAAACCCGAAACCCTAAGTCGAACTCTCAGATTCGACCACTCTGGCAAGCCTCGGAGGAGGCTACTCGCGCCTGGCCGCTTGGGCTGTTTGTAGATTTGGGGGAAATACGATTGATAATATAAATCCTGCCTTGCCCATAGTAAGGAATATGCCACGATTCCCGTAGTTTAGGATCCTTACGGCAATGCTGGATTTATATCATCAACAGTATTTCTTGCTAGCCGTTAACCCTGAATACATGAATTGTTTCGGAAGTTTACAAGATTTGGGGCCTCAGGGCTGCCTGGGCTTCAGGAGTTCAATCTCTTGCCTGTATATTGTAGAACGGGCCCAGGGTAGAGGGCCGAAACCCCTGAACAATATGAGGTAGAGTTTTGTACATGACATGCATTCTAGCACATGCTCATATGGGGCTCTTTGAAACAGTTTGATAACGTACAACAATGATCACAACAAGTAGGCCGAAGACTTAAGAAGTACCCTGACTGGGCCGATTGCTAACTCTGATCTAGCCATAATATCCTCTGACTAAGTCTCCTGGTCCTTCAGGCAGGTGTATTGACTTCGGATTGTGATTTGGAGATCTTGAAGCACCACCATAGTTTCACAGAGCGGTCATCCTCGTCCCTACGCTCTAAACTGAGCGTTTAGGGTTTTGGGGGGCTAGGGTTTAGGGCTTGGGATTTTGAGCCAAGCCCACAGGACCCCGAAAGAAAGCATCCGCAATTGTAGCCATTAGGGCCACTTGGGGCAGAGCTGGTGCTCAAAATCCTTCGTCCAGGCACAAGGCTTTAATCCCCGAAGGCACTCGTTTTAGGTACTTCCTGGGACCCTACACTTCCAACCTTCCCTAAACCCTAAACCCTAAAACCCTAAATCCTAAACCCTAAACCCTAAACCCTACACTTTCAACCTTCCCTAAACCCTAAACCCCTAAAGCCCTAAACCCTAAACCCTAAACCCTAAACCGTGGCCCCGTGCTGAGATTTGGCTTCACCCTTAGGTTGTAGAGTTTAGGGCATTTCAGATCCAGGTCCCCTTTGGGGGGGTCGGGGGACTTAGTAAGGGGCCTTTAAAGGGGATTCTAAGGGTTCCTTTAAAGGGCTCTATAAGGGTAGTATAGGGTTTAGGGTTTAGGGTTCAGGGACTTAGTAAGTAGTTAGTGAGTAGACTTATAAGTACCCTAAAAGGGACCCTAATTGGGGTTATGGTACTTATAAGTCCCTAAAATAAGTTGCTAAGTCCCCCGACCCTCCAAGCTATAAACCCCCTTCCTGTTTTGAGATCCTTGACTATAGTTATGGAAACAGTGTTTCATCAAGTTGAGGTTCGGTACTGCTGGTCGAATGGCAAGCGACACCACTGTACCGGTTTACTCAAAATACTTCAGTCTCAGCCCCAAGCCATAAACCCTCGACAAGAGTTACACCCTAAAACTCTAAGCCCTACACTATAGCACCGTACTAAACCCTAAACCCTAAACCCAAACCTTAAACCCTAAACCTTAAACCCTAAAGCCTAAACCCTAGTACCCGAACCCGGATCACTCACCGTGCCTGCAGCTCAGTCAGCTGGTTCGTGAGACGCGTCTGCTCCTGCTTAGCATCAGGGTCAAGAATCACGGGGTCGAGGGACTTGTTGAGGGGTTTAGGGTTTAGGGTTCAGGGTTTAGGGGTTTAGGGTTTAGGCTCAAGGGTTCAGGGTTTGTCGTTCAGGGTTTGAGGTTTAGGCTTTGGGGTTTAGGGTTTAGGTTTCGTTTTAAAACCTTTACCGAGCCTTACCAAGCTCTTTAACCAAAACCTCATCAGACGATCGTAACGGTTCCTTCAGGTAACTGTGAGATGGTATACCCCGAAATCCTACCATAACCATGAAAGTTCTAAGACCATCTCAAGACCTGCAAACCATTGAAAGAGCCCTGTTCTGATTATTGAGGCCCTTTTGTATCATGCAAGGGCCCCGAACGGTACACTCTCTGACCAAAACTCTGAACCCCAATCCTATGACCCAAAACCCTCTTGCCCTGCACCCCAACCCTATGACCCTAAACCCTCTCACCCTGCATCCCAACCCCAAGACTCCAACCCTACGACCCTAAACCACCAAAGCCCAGCACCCTAAACCCCAAACCCTATAACCCTAGGACCCTGAACCCTAAAGCCCACCACCCCATACCCTCAACTCTACAACCCTGAACCCCAAACCGCCACCACCCCAAAGCCAACACCCTAAACCCACCATCCCAAACCCTACACCTGGACTTTGAAGTAACCAGGGAGAAAAAGTATCGACGTTCATTCATCCTTTAAGGAACAGGTACCCAAAAAAACGTATTCAAGTATGGTACTCCAAACCCAGGACACTCTACTTGGGGGGTCGGGGGACTTAGTAAGTAGTTAGTAGGTAGACTTATAAGTACCCTAAAAGGGATCTAATTGGGGTTACGGTACTTATGAGTCCCTAAAATAACCAGTTACTAAGTCCCCCGACCCTCCAAGTACACCCTACCAGACCGCCTAAACCTTGGTCCCCGCCGGGCCTCCGTCGAGGAGTCCAGGATGGCGGCAGCTAGGCGATCGTCGCCTGAAAGGGCTTGCGGCGCTGTTGCCCGGAGATCCCAATACCGCTCAATTAAGGAATATACCTTTAATCATGATACTAAGGCCGCTATAATTCAAGGTATATTCCTCAATTAAGGAATATAGTTTCATAAAAATCCTAATACTAAGGCCTCTGTAATTTAAGGTATGTTCCTCAATTAAGGGGTATTGGGTGCTCTTGGGCTTCGGAGATCTTGGCTCTTTGAAGGGCTTAAAGGGGTCCTGAAAGGGGTCCTTAAAGGGCCTGGGGCTTAGGGTCTAGGGCTTTAGGGGTTTCAGGGTTTAGGCTTTAGGAGTTTGGGGTGTTTGGGGTGTTTGGGGTGTTTACGGGTTTGGCGGTTTGCTCGTTAGGGTTTAGGGTTTGGGGTTCGGTGAGTTCCTGCAAGGCTTCCTGTAAGCGTTCCTGCAAGGCTTCCTCTAAGGCTTCCTCTAAGGGTTACTGCCAGGGTTCCTGCGGGGGTTCCATACTTGGGGTGTCGGAGGACTTAGTAACTGGTTATTTTAGGGACTTATAAGTACCGTAACCCCAATTAGGGTCCCTTTTTGGGTACTTATTAGTCTACTTACGAACTACTTACTAAGTCCCCCGACCCCCAAGTAAGGGCTCCTTTCAGGGCTACGGGGGGTGTCTGAAGGCTCTACAAGCGTTACTTGGAGGTTCATGGGTAGTTATAAGTAGGGTTTATAGGGGTCCTCTAAAGGGATCTGTAGGGATTCAATAAGGGTATAGGGTTTAGGGTTCATGGGTAGTTGTAAGTAGAGTTATAAGTGGGTAACTGTACTTATAACCCATATTAGGGGACTTATAACCCTACTTATAACTACCCATGAACCTCCAAGTACTGGAAGGCACTGTAAGGTCATTCTACAGGCTTTATAGGTTCAGAGTGTTCCGGATAGCACAGGCGTGCCTTGTATAGGGTTTCCCAGGGTTTTTGTAGGGTTTCGTAGGAGAACTGGGATTCCTAGCGGTTGCTTGTGTAGGGTCGCAGCTTTCACTGCATGTCACATAACCAGCTTGAGAAGTAGAATAGGGGCCTTGGGGTACAATTTTTTGCATTCTAAAATGCTGAGTGTACAGACTCGTACAGGTTTTGGGCTGAACGCCTACTGAGTTGCGGATGCTAAAGAGCTGTGTGGGCTAGGAATCTTGGGCTTGGGGTACGGATGTTTGGGTTTGGAGTTTCAGGGGTTAGCGGGGTTTAGGGGTTCACTGTTTAGGGTTTAGGAGCTTTCGGGTTCGAGGTTAGGTTAGTGCGACTAGGGTTGCAAGTTCAAACAGGGAGGTGAAAGTTTAGAGAGGTCGTTCCATTTGGGGGGGGGAGGGGGCTATTGGAATGAGGCTAGCACTCCCCTAAGGCTTTCTTTAAGGGCTCTCCTTTAAGGGAACCCTAAACCCTAAACCCTAAACTCTATAATAGGACTTCCTTTATGGCTTCTGGTCTCGGTGGTTCCGAAAACCAGGCCAATGGGAGGAGCATCCCACAGGCAAGGCTCTAGCCTGGGGGTCTGTCAATATAGGGGCCTTTTGGGGGTTTAGGGCTTTGGGTCTAGGAATTCCTTTAAGGGATGCTGTTAGGGATCTATAAGCGTACCATAGTATAGGGGCCTTAATCATGGAAAATGGGGGTTAGGTTTAGGGTTTAGGGTTGTCAACATGGGAGTTTCCGAAAGGGCCCATAATTTCGGAAACTCCCATATAGGCGCCTGAATCGTTAAAATAAGGTTTTGGCATGTATGATTCGACCACATGAGGAACAATGATACTAACTGCTAGTACTCGAGGCTTATAGTGCATTACTTGATGGAAACTCCCGTCCTTGGTCCTCCTGATCTTGAAACTACAGGGACTTGGTGACGTCTTGACGGACTTCTTCGGGGTTAATCGGGGTGTTCATCATAGATGCTTCGAGTGCAAAACATGTCCCTGTCTGCGCATTTGAAGCGCTAAGCCCCAGGAAAAGCTTGACCGCAAAGCCCTTATCGAAGCTGAAAAAAACCCGAAACCCTAAACCCTACACCCTTAAATCCCTAAACGCCCAAAACCTAAACCCTGAAACCCGAAAGTGTCAGCCCCAGGACCCACGCATTCTTTTCCCTGGGGCTGCGCACCGGAGCTGGGCGATGCGGCAAGCGCTTTGCCCAAGCCCTCCACGCGCATCTCAGACCTGGCAGGCTCTTAGTGTTTAATGGGCTTACCTAAAACCCTCGGCAAACCCTAAAGCCATCAAAGCTTTTGGTCGCTACTAAGGCATGACTATGGCTGTAAGTCCACATATTTCTACCAGAAGAACAGAAACAACAACGGTTTAAAGCTCCATCAAAACTACCATAACGCACAAACCTTAATTTCCAACAGCCCTCAACGTCAGTTAAACCCTGAATCCCTGCCCCATACAAGAATCGTCTCTAACATCGAAGAATCTAGGTTCCTGAGTAGCCACTTTCAAACAAGGGTACCCTTTTTCCTACTATTCTGTTTTAACACTAAGCCTCCATGTACCGAACTAGTATACACATTGGCCTTAAAGTCGTCCCTATATATGTACTTTGGGGACGAAGTATATCCTTTTTGGGCACATGGAGCCTGAGGGTCATAAGGGTACTACCCAGGAACCTATAGGAACCCCTTAGAAGCTGCCCCAACCCTGTAATGGTGACTATAAGGAACTATAAGGATTATATTAGGGCCCTATTATATTCCTAGTATACCACTATTACAGGGTGGGGGCCCCTTCAAAGGAATCCCGTCTCCTGCGCCAGGGGGCCGAAGTCTGAGGCGCCGCTCCTCGCGGATGGCTGCCTCCGTCGGGTGACGGGGGGGGTGATACAATGGTGGGATTGCCTTCCCAGAGATCCCAATACCCCTTAATGAAGCAATATACATTAACTCATAATAGTAAGGCCTCTAGAATTTAAGGTATATTCCTTAGTTGGGTTCTCTGGGTTGTTTGAGCCCTTACCCTAAGGATCCAAAGGACCTGGTATTTGGGTACTTAGGTTTCGGATAGTAGTTATGTAGGCTACTATTTGGGAAAGTATATGATTTTTTTGGTATTTGGACCCTCAGGGTTATAGCATCATTGGTACGTATATAATCCGCAGCGTCAGGGGCAGAGAAGCCTGAAGTGCTTGAGCTGCGCGCTCTTCTCCTTCCAGCCGCAGTCGCGCCTGCTGCATGCAGGGGCAATCCGAAGCCTGAAACCGTGAGAAACAAGAACGCTGCAAAGTCCCAACTGACATGGAACGTTCATCAACATGCACGACATAGAGAAAGCGAGAAGAGAGAGAAGGGGAGAGAGAGAGAGAGAAAAGGAGAAAGATCGGTGGCTTTTTTACACACATGTGGCCAGCTGCTGCTGCCCTTTGAGCTTGACTTCACGTGCATGCTGAAGACATCCAGAGGCTCCAACATGCCTTCATCAACGATCCCGAAGCGAGACTCCTACCTTCAATGTAGCACTACTTCACGATCAGAAGATAGTATCTAAACAATTAAATCCGAAACCATAGTGAGCCTCTGGCGTCAAGCATCGGGTAGGGCCACATTTCCCTGCCCTCGCCACTCTGCACTCTCCGACCGAGAGGGGCGATGCGGCTCAAGCTTGAGGGAGCAGGGTTTAGGGTTTAGGCTTTCGCATTTGGGGTTTAAGAGAGAGGGTGCTAAGACTTAGGATTAGGTAGTTAGGTGCAAAGTTCAAGCCTTGCTTTAGGGGTCTCGCGCTTGCGCGAGGGCTTGTGGTTGAATCTGGGCTTGAGTCCTAAAATTCCAAAGGACCCAATAATTAGGTACTCGGGTTTAGGATAGTAGTTATGTAGGTTCGTGTTTGGGAGAGTATATGATTATTGGGTACTTGGACGCTTCGGGGAGGGTGGAACACAAAGACCAACCGAATGGAATAAGGTTCATGCGCCACGATGATTCATTAGGCATGACAGGGAATGGCACAACTGTCATGAAGGCTCCAGAGTAAGTGGGCGGGAAATCCTAGAAAAACCCAGAACTGCAGAGATTGGGGTCTGCCTCTCTGAGCACGTCAATCATAAACTCTACGTGAGGGCTCAGGATGTACATAGGTTCTCGGCATTAACGCCGGCGCTTCATGCCGCCATCGCCCGTGGTCTTCACCTTGGGGGCGCCCCGTCCTTGGCCCTTCTTCTTTCCAGAAGTCCCTGTGTTTCGCGTTTCCGTCCAGCCCTTGTAGTCGAAATAGTAGTCGGCCTGGCACGTGCCACCAGTTGGGTTTAGGGTGTAGGGGTGAGGAGTGAGGGGGGAGACTACCAGATTGCTGTTGAGCTCTTCGGTGCTCTATGGCAGTCCGTGGGATGTTCCACATTCCGGTCCAGTGCCAAGGAATGAGATGAGCTGCAACGACCCCCTAATTATGATAGAGTCTTGAGTACAATAGAATGTAGTCTTACAACGTTAGTAACAAGCCCTGGGGAATAGTGATGCTACAAAATACTACATCTTCGGGCTTGCATGCTAAACTCGAGCCAGATACTAACTTAACACCCTGCCACGGACTTCCCTAAATGCCTAAACCGCCCTACACTTCATGACCCTGGTTTTGAGATAAGCGTCTATATCAAGACACCCGTTCGAAGCCCAAAAGTTGGAAACACAAGAGCCTCAGCTCTTAAGACTACTCTTTGGGGACTCCCAGCACTCATTCCGGTTTCGAACTTGTTGGGGCTTACTGTTTTCCCTAAAGCCTTAACCGAACCCTATGCCACCCTAACCCTATACCCTAAACCCTAAACCCTAAACAGGTAAGAGGACTTCAAGGCAGGGTCGACCTCGGCCCTCTGCAATGCAGGGGCCTTGAATAATTAGAAAAGGGTTCTGGGGGCCATCATACGGTGTAGGGTTTAGGGTTTGGTTTAGGGTTTGGGATTAGGGTTTAGGGTTTAGGGTTCTACAATTACACTAAGGAACTCCCAAAGTCAGAAAAGGGTTTTGGGGGCCATCATACATCAATTCCGTAAGGGTGCTATAATATTGGGGTTAGATTATACTGTAATCATGATAAGGAAGTCCCAAAATAGCATCGGTAATTATAAAGAGCTCCCAGAATCTGGGACACTCTCACATGTCTGCGTCTGCCTGGCGCATCATGTGGTCGAAGTCCTGAGGTTTGGGCACGACGCGGCCGTCCCCACGGAAACTGAGCGTCTGCGCATAGTCCACCTCAAGCACAGGGCTCGTGTACCCGAGGCTCGAGTCTAAACTAACAACGCTCAGCTTTTACAACATATTATTATTTAAATTCTAATATCATATCTATGTAACCTTATAATATAGAACAGTTTCATATGATATAACTTAATATTACAATGTACTATTAAAAAATATTGTATCATATTTCCAAGTCTGCAGATGATAAGAACCTAGACCAGGCCTAAACTCGAAAAAGCATAACGCGCAGGGTTGGGGCTCGGGGGTTTTGTGTCCTTTGAAGCGCGTCACCTCAAAGGCGTCGTCCTCCCTCCGGCTGGGATCCGCCGCCGGCCCTTTTGGGGGAGATCCCGGCGGCAAAGGCGGCCACACTTCCGTCGGCCCATCCATGGGAGGCAGAGGAGGCCACAGCCCCTCCTTGGCTGCTTCTGGATATGAGAGGCTTCTTTTGTTTCACGAATCTTACTAGGGTCTTGTAGAAGCCTAGGCTTAAAGAGCGTATAGGGTTTTCTTTAAAGGTTTCCGTGCGGTTTGGCAGGGTTGCATGCGTTTCGAAGATGGCGTTTGAGAGTGTAACGAAGGGGTCAATAGAGCTTGTATATAGGGCTCTTCGCAGTTACCTCCAGGCGTTGCGGCTTGAAGTTGCGTGGGAAGCTTTGTTATCCCAGCTTGGGGTGTAGGCTTTTGCAAGGGCTACAGAACCAGCAATGTGACTGTAGAGCACAGAAGCAACAACGTCCCAAAACGCTACTTGGGGGGTCGGGGGACTTAGTAAGTAGTTAGTAAGTAGACTTATAAGCACCCTAAAAGGGACCCTAATGGGGGTTATGGTACTTATAAGTCCCTAAAATAACCAGTTACTAAGTCCCCCGACCCTCCAAGTAGAGCCCTAAATCCCCAAACCCCAAAACCTAGACCCTAACAACAAAAAACAAAAACTACCTTAAACAGCAAAGCAATGGCAACAACAAGAATCCTCACCCCTGCACCCCAAACCCTAAACCCCTAACACCTAAACCCTGAACCCCAAACTCTGCTGAGAAGACGCCTCCTCCTCGCCAAAGCGGTCTAGCTCTTCGGCCGTGGGGAGTTGAGGCCCTTCCTCGATTGGGGTTGAAATCGTATCAAAATGTCTGCTAAGTTCTATTGCTTCTTGGGTTTAGGGTTTTTGAGTTTAGAGCTTTTGTCGTCCTAAAGCCTTGATGTTAACTTCTATTCCTTCTTGGGTTCAGGGTGTAGGGGTTTAGGAGGGGTTTAGGGGTTTAGGGGCTTGGGTTTTTTGTTTAGGGTTTAGGGGTTTAGGGTTCAGGGCTTATCTGGCAAGTACACATCAAGATGTATCATGTAGGAACCTGATTCAGAAACAATGACCCTACAGCCCCAATATACTAGGGTCCATAAAAGGAACCCTAGTAAAGACCCCCCTAAACCCTAAACCCTAAACCCTAAACCCCAGGTTCCGACATTAGAATGTTACCCGCTGTGGCAAGGCTTCCTCGATCTCACTGGGCTTCATCTCCTTGAGGGTGTTCACCTGCAGTGCAAGGGTTTCCGACACTGAAAAGGTAGCTTTACAGGGTTCCGTAAAGGGGATCTATAAGGGTTGGAGGTTTTTAACAATTAGGGGTATCGTATTTTGGGGTCCTAGTGACAAGGATCCCACTATGTCGGGTACTATATTTGGGTCCCCCATTTTCGGAAGCTCCCGATGTAGGCCTCAGGGTCTCCGGTTAAGGGTTTGGGACTTATGGCTTAGGGCTCAGAGGTTCTGCATGGGGTTCATAAAAGATCTAGGAGGTGCTATGAGGCTTCTGTGAGATTACAGGCGCATGGACTTTGGAATTCGATGGTTTAGGGCTTGGCACACAGATTAGCGTTTCTTCACCGTGACAAACATCCAGGAGAAGTTTGATGGATTTTTGGCTCTTGTACTGTACATGAAGAGGGACTGCACACAAAGGAGCCTCCAAGCAGCCTAATCCCTAGGCTAAGAACCTATAATGACCCTGAACCCTAAACCCCAAAATCACCGTTATTAATAGTAGTATCAAGCATAACCCTATGAATAGTAGCAATAACCATAACCTTGCCAAACAAAACATAACCCTATGAATCGTAGTAATGACCATAAACGTATTAAAAACACAAACAGAGAAACAACGAAACAAACAAACAAACAAAAAAACTGAGCTAGTAGTAATCTCATAACCCTATTAATAGTAGAAATAACCATAAACCTTTCAATGGTAGCAATGACCATAACCCATCTTTAAACCAACTGAGCCCCGTATTGGCGCCGCCTTCTCCCGGCACTCGGTGCACATCTTCGGCCCCATCTGGGCGGAGTAGATCCTGGGCTTAGGGGTTTGGGTCTAGGGTTTAAGGTTTTGGGCCTAGGGTTTAGGGTTTTGGGTGTAGGGTCTAGAGTTTAGGGCTTTCCGAGAACAGCCGAAGCACCTTCAAAAGGCAAATTGCCCGATTTTTGGGTCATATCCGTTGCTCCATATTGGTTACCCGATGTAGGGCTAGGGATTGATATGGTTTAGCGTTTAGGGCTTCAAGTTCTTAGGGTGTACTTTCGGCTCAGGGCTGCAGGGGTTTAGGCTTTGGGCTGGCAAGGGTTTACGAAGGGCTATCGACTGAGCTACAGCAAACCCCATAAAGTTGGAAACCGGGTTAAGGCCAAATAGTGCTGGGATTCTTACGGATTCAGGCTATTGGGTTTCCAACTTTCGGGCTTCTACTGTACTCCTACAGGCGTTTTAAAGTTTGGGGTTTGGGGCTTCGGGTTTGGGACTTGGGGTTCGGGTTTAGGGGCTTGGGTGTGACCATGATCCCTGAACTCTCATAGCCAAGCATCCAGCCCTGCTGGCCGCCCTTGATTTTCTTGGCCCACCACCATCCGGCTTTGCTCCATCGCAGTACCCGAAACTCCTCGAAGGTTTAGGGTTTTAGGGTTTAGTGGTTAGGGTTTTAGAGTTTAGGGTTTAGGGTAACTCCTCGAATTCGGATTTTGGGTCAGCGGGTTCCCAGAAATCCCAATACCCCTTAATTACGGAATATGCCTTGAATCATAATCTTAAGACCCCTAGTATTTAAGGTATATTCCTTGTTTAAGGAGTATTGCAAGGGTTCTCTGGGTTAGGGCTGAGAGTCTAGCCACAGGCCTCCAGTAGTTGACGCTCCGGTAACGGGAGAGCTCACTACTGCTGCGATACAGACGCTGATTCCCATTT